GCTAAATCTGGTGACCCTAGAGGGTGAACACTGGGGAGGGAACCAGGTACCTGAGGGATCAGAGGAGGAAAAGCCAGTATCCACTAGAGAAGCTGGCATTTGAATGGTACCTCAAAAGTTTCTCTAGATAAAGATGGAAGAGAAAGGCAGAATAGTCAAAAGGAGCAACATGAGATAAAGTGGTGGGACAATAAATTGGGAAGTATTTGGGAGCAGATCATAGATTGAATAGGGAAAACTGGGCAAGAAGGTGGTCATGTAAGAGGACATTAAACCATCTGTTATTTTGGTGCTTATTCAGTGGCTAAGGGGGAGATGCATAGGGTTACTGTTTCTTATTGTGAGCAGAAATGTGGAATTTTAAACTTCTTACTCTTGTGCTGCGAGGTGGGTGCCAGGTTATGTATATAAAAATAGTTATTCTTGTGAAACCAAAACTCTAAAGGTAACATGTTAGAAAAATAAAAGTAAAAGTATACAAGTCATTTTAGTGGAGGAATATAATAAGCACAAGAGGAAGAAAAGACTCTGTTATGTGTGATTGTGGTTAAGGCTCTTAGTATTTTTAGGGCACAAACTTGTAGATGGGATGACAAGTGGCAATTGCAGTTATATCTTCATTTACCTAAGAAATATCTGCCTCTAGACTTGGGTGTACTCTAAGTCTGCAGCATTACTAAAATGAAATTAACATACTTAAATTAAAATAGAGGTGACCTAGGTGCACTGACTCACGCCTGTAATCCCAGCACTTTGGGAGGCCGAGGCAAAAGGATTGCTTGAGGCCAGGAGTTCAAGACCAGCCTGGGCAACAAAGCAAGACTCTGTCTCTACAAAAAATAAAAAATTAGCCAGGCGTGGTGGTGCATGCCTGTAATCTCAGCTACTCGGGAGGCTGAGGTAGGGAGGGTCGCTTGAGCCTGGGAGGTTGAGGCTGCATTGATCCATGATCATGCCACTGCACTGTAGCCTAGGCAACCATGTGAGACCCTGTCTCAAAAAAAAAAAATAAATAAATAAATAATAAAATAGAGGTGAGAGTTTGGAGTCTTAATTCTGGAAGGTGAATTCCAGAAAAGTAAATTTAGTGGTATGAGCAAGGATCTAAGGCAAGTCCCAACTGAATAACATGAAAACACATTAAACATAAATGGATATATGGTCACTTTGATCTAAACCACAGGGAAATGTTAAAAAGTTAAAGCTTGAAAAGTATAGCCTGATAGCAGGGCTTTTACAAAGGAAGAGAGATGTAAAACATGAAAATGAAGAAAAGCTGGAAGGCAGGCATCTGATCCCTGGACATGTGTCCTAATAGTCTTTATGGGGCAGTTAAGATAAACACCCGAAAATTTAAAGGGCAAATACAGTGCTTTAGTTGTTTTTCTATTTTGTAACAATATCTTTATTTATCTACCTTGATGATTTCACCTGCTCTTCAATGTGGGCCAAGGACATGATATCCTGCCCATTTCTTTGACATCCCAGAACAAATTCCTGCTGATGGAGTTTCTGCCATTTATCGTGGAAGACTAAAAACATACAAATTCTGATAATTAGAAATTTTAATTCTCAAAGGACACAGTTCAGAAACCCTATGCATATGTTATTGAAAGCTCTCATGTGCAACTGTACATTTCGAATGGCCCACATTGGTTTTCTGATTAATATGGAATTGTGACATTAGATTTTTGGTTATCAAAACTTTACTGTTAGTGTTAGACCTGCCTTTTCTTTCTAACTCATGGGTATTCAGGACTCAGGACTCTTTTTTTTAACACCAAGAACTTCCCTAGCCTTTTCTGAGAAGCATCTAGTGAGAGAAGTGTGGAGGCTAAGAGAAGGAAGAGTTGGGGGTACTTGAAATCTGCAGACTCCTGCAGGCAAGTCACCTGGTGGGGCAGGCCCTGCAGGGTGCATTGCCATAGCAGTGGGTGGGCATCTCTGGAAACTTCCCCTTAGAGCAGAGAGGCTGTTCTTTCAGAAAAGCAGCTTCATCATCTCTCTTTTCTTTTCATGGTGGCTGGTAGCTCTTTTATCCATTTCCATCCTGTTATGCCTATGGCTCTTCCTCCTCAAGTCATATGTAGCTGCAGTACAGTGAGATAGAGCTCAGGGCAAACTATGGAAAGTAATGGTATTTAGTTAGAGTCTGAAAGCCCAACTTCAAGATCTTTTACTGCCATTTGTTAGGGCATGACCTTGGGCATGGCATTTAACCACTCTGAGCTTTGGTTTTCTCATCTTTAAACTGAGTATTCATATTTCATGTATTATCTGCCTTATAGAATTATTGAGGATTAAATGAGAAAATGTAAGTAGAAGTTTATCCTAGGGCTATGATGATGATTGTGATTAGTATTATTTAAAAGTCCAGTGGGTGGGCCAGTTTTTCCCACCTAGAAAAATATAGGACTCCTATTCAAAGTCTTATGGAACAAAAATCATCACTAACTTGCTTATTTGAATTTCTATAATGAAGTAAAAATTCAAGATAGATGGAATTTTTGAAGAAGCTCCTGACTGTTGAATAATTCTTATATATTTTAAAAACTGTCACAATATAAGTATTTTTAAAGTAGTATATAATGGTTCCTGAAAATACCTGAAATGCCCATCCTTTTATACATGTTTAAGTATGCAATTTGTTCTAAATGTCTAATCGTGAATGATTAAATAATTTGCATGCTGTTTTCAGTGCTATGAATTAAAGACTAATTGAAGTATAATTTTTTTGCAGTAAAATTATATCATCTTTTATGTAGTACATTTAAAAATATTCTAGGCCGGTTCTAATTTTATAGTTTTATTATTTTAATTTAATGCACCAAGTAATTAAAAATTGCTACAAAGAAAAGAAGCCAAAAATGATTTTAGTTAATTTCCCCTCAACAGAGTGAAAAGATGATAAGTAGAATAATGGAAGAGAGCCCAACACAGTTCCTGGCACATAAAGATATTCATTAAATATTCCTTAATGAATAAGGAATGACTAATTTCTAAGTGGCTCTAGACTTTGAGAAAAGGCACCATTTTCAGTGCTGTATAAAATACAAAGAAGATAGGTTGACATCTTCATATTAAAATACCTCCATGCAGAGTTCCCACAAGCCAATTTTTATTGAATCATTAGATCCGCAGTTTGCTCTGCTTTCCTTTTTCTCTTTGTTCTTGGATAGATTCTCAGGCCTAAGTCAGTTACAGATATTGAGAGACAATTCTCCATGGGTATCATGCATTTCTGTATCTCTTGCAAGCAGAGGCACTGACTTCTCTTTGTTCTGGACTATCTCTTCAAGGATGTTTATATAGCAAGTAGCTGTGGAAGACAAAAATAATCTCTCCCTCTGGAGCAAAGTATAGGTTTGCTTATAGCCTTGGAAGATAGAGGCTTAGTGTCTCCTTCCAGAATAAAGTCTAATAAAGATAGTAGCTCCCTCTGAGATAAAGAGCAGAGATGCTTATTGCTATTTATAGAAGATTTGGGTTCCCTAAGCTAAGGGTTCCTCTCCTGTAACGTAACCCACTGCATGTACAAATGTTACCTGGCCCTTATTGTGTCATCCTGTGGGAATTGGGGCTTAGGAAACTGGAACAAGAAATGCTGATATTCAGGCTACTCTTACTGCTGTTGATTAATAAACTGCGTTTTGTCTCTGACCAAGGCACCTTCTGTCTTCTACCAGCATCCGTGAAACTATGGAAGGCTAACTTGTCATCTTGCAAGTAGGATAAAATCTCAAACCCTAAACAATTCCTTTTTTTTTTTTTTTTTTGAGACAGGGTCTCGCTCTGTTGTCCAAGAGAGAGTACAGTGGTACGATCATGGCTAACTCTAGCCTCAACCTCCTGGGCTCAAGCAATCCTCCCACCTTTCAGCCTCCCAAGTAGCTAGGACCACATGTGGGCACCACCACACCCAGCTAATGTTTTTTTTAATTAATTTTTTTTTCTTTTGTAGAGGCAGAATTTTGCCATGTTGCCCAGGCTGGTCTCAAACTCTTGGGCTCAAGCAATCTGCCTGTCTCGGCCTCCGAAAGTGGTGGGGTTACAGGCATGAGCCACTGTGCCTGGCCCCTAAACAATCCTGGACAACAGATTGCAGCAATATTTGGGTAACTTGGCTGGTATGGTGTGGTGTAGGTGATACACTCATGTAGGCAAGGAACCCTTTTACCTCCAGTGGCTAACCACTCTTTTGGATATACGTGGGGACCCTGGGAACATATTCTCCAGCCACCATGAGGAGAAATGAATGGGCATCAGGGCTGGAAGTAGAAGATGGGATGAGACCTAGAGCTTTTGGCGCAGAGCACTGGCTAGAACTATGAAGACTCTGATAAAACTTGAGGTAGTGCTTGGGTGGAGGTGGACAGAGGCTATAGAGGAAGGAGGAGGAAAAATAGGTTGATAGAGGAAAGAAGAGTCCATGAAACTTCACAGCAGCCAAAAGTCATTCATCCTTATTGAAACTTCTAAGTCAGCGTTGGCACCTATCATTCCAAAGCTTATTAGCTTTTTTTTTTTTTTTTTTTTTTTTTTTGAGCCATGAGTACACATTTTTGTGAGTACTCTGCATTGGTGCCTTAATGCCTTGTTGAGTATGCCCACATTGAGTGCTTGCTGGTGGCTGAATGTGAACAGGCTTGTTCTGGGAAAAGACATAATGGCAGCGTCTGGTATTTTTGGTCATTCTGCCGATGTCCCCTTTCCTTCATCCCCCATCCTCACCCTAGTCTTTATGGTTTATTAAAATACTTCCCAGCTACCACTTAGGCAACTCTAACCACGCGCAAGGCTGGCCACAGAGCTCTGAACCTCAGAAGTCTCAGCTCCTTCTGACTCCCTCGGAGTTGGAACGTGCTAATGCTGCTTCCTGGAATGAGCCCTTTGCCCAGTTTTCTGTTGCGGGAAAGTATTTGGCATTGTTAGTGAATGTGCTGCATCTTCTTACTTGATAGCCACATGATAAAACAGTTGTATTTTCTTTCATGCCATAGGGACTTCTATCCGGCGTCATCGGATTACTCTCCCGCCTCCTGATGAGGATCAGTTTTATACTGTGTATCATTTTAATGTCGGCACAGAGGTTGTCTTCTATGGTCGGACATTCAAGATTTATGATTGTGATGCATTCACAAGAAACTTTTTGAGGAAAATAGGGGTCAAAGTGAATCCCCCAGTACCATGTCCGGAAGATCCTTACATGAAGATTCGGAGAGAGGTAAGGAATTGACGTTCATTGAGTTCTTGTCTTCAAAATAAAAATTCCTTTGGAAAGTCAGTAAAGGGTATTTGTACTCCTGATGCAGATGTCAAAGACCTTTTAGGGCCATAGTTATTCCAGTTGTTTTGTTATTCTTTGGGCCAGAGGGAAGGCTGAGTGTTAGCCACAGAGCAGGAATGACTTCCTCACTGCCTCACCCCAATTCTCTCTGTGGAGAGTCTCTCTTTCAGGTAGTAGGAGTCTTCAGTGAACTGCACAGGTGAGACAGTTTCTAGACACCCACAACTGGCTTTGTGGTCACTGATGGTATATGAATTGTATCCACACTTCCTTGGCTTGTGTTTTTGCATTTTAGTTGCCTAACTGGCTAGAAAGATCTTTGCTTCTATACTAGTGATTTAATGAACCAAGCCTTGGGTACACCTTTTTACTTCCCCCTAGGAAATTCCAGGTCCTCTTAGGGTGGCATTGGAATGCCGAGATGCTCTGGAAGAATAAGGAGAACCATGATTCTGGTGTACCCCCTTTAGGAAATGATATTTGTGTACAACGTCTGACCCCAGCTAGGGTAAGGGAGTAAAGACTCAATATTTTTAGTATTATTTTTGTCTTCCTATGTTTTAAACAGTCCCTGGGCCCAAATTCTGTTTTCTAGAAGAATTTGAACACTCACAGGGGGTAGAAGGTGGCACACCCAGCTAATCTCTTTGCTGGGACTGGATCGCAAATCTCTTGACTCTTACCCTGATTTCCATCATCATCACTTGTTTCCTTTTTCCTTTTCTATTGAAGTGTGATTACACACAGTAAAATACACAGAAATTAAGTGTACAGTTGGATGAGTCTTAACAAATACATGTACCCCTCTAACCTACCCCCAGATTGAGATGTAGAGCATTTCTCTTCCCCCAGAAAGTCCCCTCATGTGTTTTTCCTATCAATCCCACTCCCCACCACAGACAACTGCTGTCCTCATTTCGATCCCCATAGATGAGTGTTGTCTGATTTTTATTGTTTTAAAACTTTCAATTCATTTCCTTGCAGAGAGGTAACAAAATTTAGAACAAAATTCTCTTTGGATTCTGTTTTGATCTCTTTTTAAAAGCCACTTGTAGGATCATTCATCTATTCCTGCCTCCCAGCCCCAGCAAAATTATTCTTTAATGTTGTAGGCATACAACCCTCTGGAGAAATATATGTATTGTTGATCCTGGAATATTTAAGGTGAAATGCCTGTATATTGATGTACAAAGGGATATTTTTGGTTTGGATTCATTTTTAGTTTTTCCAAATGCCCTGGATGAAAGAGTCTAGATAAATAGAAAGAATTTAGAGCCAGCAGAGAGAACTTGAAGGAAATGGATCCAAATGAATTGCCACCCTTTGCATATGGCTACACTCATTCACTAACAGTTGTTGTTACTTGATAGTGATTGTGAATGATGATGGATTATATGAAAATGCACAGAGCATCGTGGGATTTCATAGGTTTATGAAGAGAAAAAATATATATATATATATTTAAAATTATACTTTAAGTTCTGGGATACATGTGCAGAATGTGCAGGTTTGTTACATAGATATACACGTGCCATGGTGGTTTTCTGCACCCATCAACCCATCATCTACATTAGGTGTTTCTCCTAATGCTATCCCTCCCCTATCCCCCCATCCCCTGATAGGCCCTGGTGTGTGATGTTCCCCTCCCTGTGTCCATGTGTTCTCATTGTTCAACTCCCATTTATGAGTGAGAACATGGAGTGTTAGGTTTTCTGTTCCTGTGTTAGTTTGCAGAGAATGATGGTTTCCAACTTCATCCATGTCCCTACAAAGGACGTTAACTCATCCTTTTTAATGAGTGCATAGTATTCCATGGTGTATACGTGCCACATTTTCTTTATCCAGTCTATCATTGATGAGCATTTGCATTGGTTCCAAGTCTTTGCTATTGTGAATAGTGCTGCAGTAAACATACATGTGCATGTGTCTTTATAGTAGGATGATTTATAATCCTTTGGGTATATACCCAGTAATGGGATTGCTGGGTCAAATGATATTTCTGGTTCTAGATCCTTAAGGAATTGCCACATTGTCTTCCATAATGGTTGAACTAATTTGCACTCCCATGAACAGTGTAAAAGCATTCCTATTTTTCCACATCCTCTCCAACATCTGTTGTTTCCTGACTTTCTAATGATTGCCATTCTTTTTTTTTTTCTTCCGAAATGGAGTCTCACTCTGTTGTCCAGGCTGCAGTGCAGTGGCACGATCTTGACTCACTGCAAACTCCACCTCCCGAGTTCCAGCAATTCTCTGCCTCAGCCTCCTGAGTAGCTGGGATTACAGGGGCCTGCCACCACATCCGGCTAATTTTTTTTTTTTTGTATTTTTAGTAGAGACGGGGTTTCACCGTCTTGGTCAGGTTGGTATTGAACTCCTGACCTCGTGACCCACCTGCCTCAGCCTCCCAATGATCACCATTCTAACTGGCATGAGATGGTATCTCATTGTGGTTTTGATTTGCATTTCTCTAATGACCAGTGATGATGAGCTTTTTTTCATATGTTTGTCGGCCATATAAGTGTCTTGTTTTGAGAAGTGTCTGTTCATATCCTTTGCCCACTTTTTTATGTTTTTTTTTTTGTTTTGTAAATTTGTTTAAGTTCCTTGTAGATTCTGGATATTAGCCCTTTGTCAGATGGATAGGTTGCAAAAATTTTCTTCCATTCTGTAGTTTGCCTGTTCACTCTGATGATAGTTTCTTTGCTGTGCAGAAGCTCATTAGCATAATTAGATTCCATTTGTCAATTTTGGCTTTTGTTGCCATGCTTTTGGTGTTTTAGTCATGAAGTCTTTTTCCCTGTCTATGTCCTGAATGGTATTGCCTAGGTTTTCTTTAGAGTTTTTATGGTTTTAGGTCTTATGTTTAAGTCTTTAATCCATCTTGAGTTAATTTTTGTATAAGGTGTAAGGAAGGGGTCCAGTTTCAGTTTTCTGCATATGGCTAGCCAGTTTTCCCAACACCATTTATTAAATAGGGAATCCTTTCTTCATTGCTTGTTTTTGTCAGGTTTGTCAAAGATCAGATGGTTGTAGATGTGTAGTGTTATTTCTGAGGCCTCTCTTCTGTTGCATTGGTCTATATATCTGTTTTGGTACCAGTACCATGCTGTTTTGGTTACTATAACCTTGTAGTATAGTTTGAAGTCAGGTAGTGTGATGCCTCCAGCTTTGTTCTTTTTGCTTAGGATTGTCTTGGCTATATGAGCTCTTTTTTGGTTCCATATGAAATTTAAAGTATTTTTTTCTAATTCTGTGAAGAAAGTCAATGGTAGCTTGATGGAGATGGCATTGAATCTATAGATTACTTTGGGCAGTCTGACCATTTTTGCAATATTGATTCTTCTATCCATGAGCATGGAATGTTTTTCCATTTGTTTGTGTCCTCCCTTATTTCCTCGAGCAGTGGTTTGTAGTTCTCCTTGAAGAGATCCTTCATATCCCTTGTGAATTGTATTCCTAGGTATTTTATTCTCTTTGTAGCAGTTGTGAATGGGAGTTCACTCATGATTTGGCTCTCTGTCTGTTATTGGTGTATAGGAATGCTTGTGTTTTTTGCACATTGATTTTGTGTCCTGAGACTTTGTCAAAGTTGGTTATCAGCTTAAGGAGATTTTGGGCTGAGATGATGGTTTTCTAAATATACAATCATGTCATCTGCAAATAGAGACAATTTGACTTCCTCTCTTCCTATTTGAATACCCTTTATTTCTTTCTCTTGCCTGATTGCCCTGGTCAGAACTTCCAATACTATGTTGAATAGGAGTGGTGAGAGAGGGCATCCTTGTCTTGTGCCAGCTTTCAAAGGGAATGCTTCCAGCTTTTGCACATTCAGTATGATATTGGCTGTGGGTTTGTCATAAACAGCTCTTATTATTTTGAGATACATTCCGTCAATATCTAGTTTATGGAGAGTTTTTAGCATGAAGCGGTATTGAATTTTATTGAAGGCCTTTTCTGTATCTATTGAGATAATCATGTGGTTTTTGTCATTGGTTCTATTTATGTAATTCATTACGTTTATTGATTTGCACATGTTGAACCAGCCTTGCATCCCAGGGATGAAGCTGACTTGATCTGGATGGATAAACTTTTTCATGTGCTACTGGATTGGGTTTGCCAGTATTTTATTCATGATTTTTGCATCGATCTTCATCAGGGATACTGGCCTGAAATTTTCTTTTTTTGTTGTGTCTCTGCCAGGTTTTGGTATCAGGATGATGCTGGCCTCATAAAATGAGTTAGGGAGGAGTGCCTCTTTTTCTGTTGTTTGAAATGGTTTCAGAAGGAATGGTACCAGCTCCTCTTTGTACCTCTGGTAGAATTTGGCTGTGAATTGATCTGGTCCTGGGCTTTTTTTGGTTGGTAGGCTATTGATTATTGCCTCAATTTCAGAACTTGTTATTGGTCTATTCAGGGATTTGACTTCTTCCTGGGTTAGTCTTGGGAGGGTGTATGTGTCCAGGAATTTATTTCTTCTAGATTTTCTAGTTTATCTGCGTAGAGGTGTTTATACTATTCTCTGATGGTAGTTTGTATTTCTGTGGGATCAGTGGTGATATCCTGTTTATCGTTTTTTATTGTGTCTATTTGATTCTTCTCACTTTTTTTCTTTGTCTGGCTATCTATTTTGACTGCTATCTATATAGACTGCTATCTATTAGCAGTCTATCTTTTTTGTTGATCTTTTCAGAAAACTACCTCCTGGATTCATTGATTTTTTGAAGGATTTTTCATGTCTCTATCTCCTTCAGTTCTGCTCTGATCTCAGTTATTTCTTGCCTTCTGCTAGCTTTTGCATTTGTTTGCTCTTGCTTCTCTAGTTCTTTTAATTGTGATGTTAGTGTGTTGATTTTAGATCTTTCCCACTTTCTCCTGTGGGCATTTAGTGCTATAAATTTCCCTCTGAACAGCGCTTTAGTTGTGTCCCAGAGATT